CACGCAGTATACAAGTCGGAACGGCCGAGATCGGCCGACTATATCATATAGCTGCCATATAACTGATTGATCGGAAATGCCATAACTTTGGTGGTTGTACAGTTAGGAAGTTGGTTTTTTATGTGCCATAATCCATAAGGATCGGCGACTTCCATCCGCCATATATATTGACAAGATATTGGTTTTGTTCAGTTAGGAAGTTCGGATTTTGTATGGGTTATATATTTGGCCAATCAATTCGACCTACCAAATTTCATACGGATCGGCCGACTATATCCTATAACTGAACGATTGGAAATTCCATAACTTTGGGGTTTTTAAAGTTAGGAAGTTCGGATTTTTTATGAGTATTATAAGTATGAATAATTTTGGAGAATGTAATTTACAGAATATTCTGCAAGGGTATATAAACTTCGGCTTTGCCCGAAGTTAGCTTTCCTTTCTTGTTTTTTTATTAATTTTCTTGTAACTTTACAGAGTTGTGGCCTTCGATGATAGTACCCACGGAAATAAAAATCAGTTTGAAAAGTCTCCAGATCTTTTTCAGTCAAATAACCCGGCGGACGATGAATATGATTATGGAGATTTTACCGGCTACGCTTATGACGGTGGTCAATTCCCCGGTAATAAATACATAGTATGTTTATTCAGATTTTTACAGGACAGCAATATTTTATATATATAATATTTGACAGCTCGAGCCTTCAGCTAGGATTATGTCTAGACTAATCTTAGAAGATAATCATGGCTCAGATGTGAACAAAAATAGTAAAAATGGTGAGTACCAAACCTAGAAAAATCTAAAAAATCTGATGTTATACATATTTTACATATAAAAATTCATTTTTAAGGATACGAAATATCTCAAAGTTTTTACAAATCTTCCGAGGGTCTAAGTTCTGGAACCGAGCTATCAAATCAGAAGAGAGAAATAAACTTCAACGACGTAACGGATATTGCACTTACTACTTTGGCGTTTTTATCGTTTGGAATGTTTACTTTACAAGTTCTTATGTGCATTGTTATGGTAACTATGGTAACATTTACCCGTGAACAAAAAATATATATGTTGATAGTTAATTTATAACAACTAATGTTTAAGTTGAGAAGTTAAGAAAGAAGTTGTTGTAGACGGCGGAAGGTAACTGAAGCTGGTATTTTAAGTTCTTATTTGTGACGACTCGGTTTCTGACGACTTGACTGCACAACTACGACACGACGGCTTTAAGACACTTCTGCTTTTACTTGGTGCTGTGACGACTGCTCACGACAACGATTTCTTTTCAATTCTCAAAACGACTCCGTTCCGAATGCATTTTCTGCTGCTCCTGAACTTTCAATCCATAACCCTTCTACATATCGCCTGCTTATATTCGGTCATCCTGCACCTCGTCGCCTGTCTCAAACGACAGCAAGTCCTCATTTTACACAACATATCTACATAATTAAATATTGTCCACGCTTGTGGATATCCGTCAAAATTGGCAGCCTTCCTAAAATGGGGAGCCTGCATTAGAGGTTTCAAAAAATCGAATAAATGTCTACACAAATTATCCAAGAATGTGTTACTAAAATTTCAGAAGCAAACTCAAAATATTTTTACAGTTACAGGAGAAACAGTGAGCAAGCGTCGAGCAGGTATACGAATCTTTGACGTGCAATTTCTTGGTTTTTCATTTTTACAATTTCTCCTAACTGGCGGGAAAGATAGGCATAAAATTAAACGTCCTCTCGAAAAGAGAAAACATTAATTAGATTCGGGATTAAATTATTTTTAGTTGAACATAAAAAACCTTCAAAAAGTTCTGAAAAAGTAAACCACTTTTAAAATAATCTAAAGCGAATTAAAAAAAAGATATTATTTAATTTTTGGCTAAATTATTGAAAATAGAAAAATTTAAAAATTTTTTTTCTGAAGGAAATTGCGACATGCATCTTTCCCGCCGCACGATACATGCAAGTTATCCAACCCGTGAAACGGTTCCACTTATGGAATTAATAAACAAATTTTTAAATTCAATTATCCAACCCGTGAAACGGTTCCACTTATGGAATTAATAAACAAATTTTCAAATTCAATCTCAGCTACATTGCCTTTGCCTTTATTTATGATTCTGCCTTCGCCTTTTTCATTAACTTCGAAGGCCGCGCTTGAAATAAAAAAAATATATTTTTTTTAATCAACCAACACGAACAAATTTAATTGGCGCCCAACCTGGGGCCGCGTCTAAAAAAGTTCCAAAAAACTATTTAATGAAAAATAAGTTAAATATAAACGGAGCTCGCGCGGCCAACAACTCTACATTTTTAGTGGAAAAATTAAAACATCCACCAAACGGCACAACCAAGTGGCAGTGATCGTTAACAACAATTAAATGGAAATTAATAAATGAAACAATCCATTTAAAGGTGAATTTAAAATAAAGGTAGACCGAAATCTAAAACAAAAAAATACAAGAACACAAAAATACAGATTAAATTAAAAAAAAAAAACAATTAAAAACCGAAAACGCATTAAAATAAATTAATTGTTTAATCAAACAAGAACTTTCAACAACAAAAAAAGACAACACGCAGAAACAATAAAATTAAAGAAGGAAGGAAGGCCATTCTCACGCCATTAATCTTCGCTGAATCCAAGAAGGAAGATCAACCCACAACATTCGATTTAGCGTCGCTTGTGAACAGTTGTGTTTACCTATGTGCTGTAACGAACTTTTTTTTATGGTTTGCTCGCTACGAAATTCGTGCGGCTAGCTCAGTAGAATTTGTGCGTTCGTCCCACCAAATTTATATTAAACGTGACCGCCCGGTTAACAGTAACAAAACTTCAGAATTCAGTTAAGGAGGCGTTTATTTACGGCTCTGGTTGACAATATTTGAATATATCTTGCGTGGGTGATGCTCCTGCGTCGCCGCTCGGTGATTCCTCGCTGCTGATGGTCCTAGTCGCTCCGAGTACTTTCGCTGCCGCTCATAGACGAGGGCGTGGAGTTGGACCGTTGGGCTTAGGGAAGCGTCACCGTTCTCAGACTAGGGTGAACAGGCACCACGCTCGCAAGACCTTCGTCCTGCCAGCCGCAGTTTCCTGTCCCTTGCTCTGTCCCGGTCGGTCCCACTATACGCTCACTCAGTTTCCTTTGACGCTCTGGTACTACGGCCAGATCACGTCAGCAGTCCCTATAGCCAGCGCCCAGAGAAAGACGAACGTTCCACCCTGGCCTTCCCTCCCGACTGTTGCGATCGTACCTGAGGCTTGGCTCTTGTTGCGGTCTCTGGCGGCTTGTCTGCGTCGTCGTCCTGCGCGACTGGTTGTGGCGTTGTTCCACGTTGCTCCCTTGAGGCCCACTGCTCGTGTCGCTCACTCTGTTGTTGTTGACGTGCCGAGCTAAATCTGCCTATAACCGGCACAACTGATCGGTATTACGGCCGACGCAGCTGGACTCATCGGTATTACAGCCAATGTAGTCGGCCTGGTTGGTATTACAGCCGGCGCAGTTAGTCTGATCGGTATTACAGCCAATGCAGCTAACTGACCGGTATTACAGCCAACTTAGACGCACACGGTTATAATAAATTGGTATTACAGCCAATGTAGCCGGACTGATTGGTATTACAGCCGGCACAGCTAGCCTGATCGGTATTACAGCCAATGCAGCTAAACTGACCGGTATTACAGCCAACTTCGTCGGACTACTCGGTATTACAGCCAACCTTGATGTTCTGTAGACTTGGCCGTGGGTTGCCGTTCGAGGACTCAGCTACCTGTGTCTCAATTCGGTGACTTGCTCGGTCCCGAACCTCTCGACGTAGCGATCTTGTTCACGGTTGGTTCTCACGGTGGTATATTCTTGACTTTGACTTTCACTAGACGATGTTCATTCGTAGTTTGATGCTCGATGACTGGTCCTGATTCCAGCGCTGGGCCCGTTTATATAGGCCTCCGGGTCCCGTTAATCCTCGGCCATTCCTTTTCTTCTCTCCACTCCAAGGTCCAAAGTCCACGGTTTTACCGTTTGACCTTTCGCCCTCTGCACACGGCACCACACTGAAGTCCACAGTGCAGCGCTGTACCGTTCCTTCCTTGCTCACGGCACGCCTGCGCTCTCTGGGCTCTCGCTCTGACTAGTGCCGTCTCGCTCTGGCACCTCTCTCCGCTCCGTCTCTCCCAATCTCTCCAAACTCTCTTTGGGTTCGTACTTTGTACTTTCTCTCCTCGTACTCTCCAACTGCTTTCTCCAAACTCTCTTTTCCTGCGTTGCCGTTACTACGCGAAGTAGTTGCGTAAGTAGCAACTGGCAGGTTTTCCATGCAGTTATTTTTGAGATATTTTGTGTGGAGTTATTTAACTCCTCACATTCCCCTCTTTCTTCGGATAACGAAAGTGAGCTCGATCCTCCTCTCCGGCTGTTACCCTGTGAGTCCTTGTAGCCTTCGAGTCCTCTCGCTCTTCTCCCCACTCTGGTTCCATCCTTAGACGTACGAATTCTCGTTGTTCCTCTCCGGCTTTTATCCTGTGTATCCTTGTTGCCTTTGAGTCTTCTTGATCCTTACATCGACGCCCACAGCTCCTTGTTGAGTTATACTGCGCCGATCCGTATTCCTTGACTTTCTCCCACGAAGCTTCCCTCGTCGATGTATGCTTCCTTAAATCCCGATGCTGCCGTCGAAACTTTTAAATATCCCGCTCCAACCTTGTTCGCGGTCTCCTGTGGTTCGTCTTGGTCACACTAATCCTTTGCGATCGATAACATGACTTGCATATCGATATTACCTTGGGGTGGCGTTGCCACCTCATCATCGCGATGTTTATTAGTGTGTCTCTCATATGCCGATAGTTCCAATGTCTCGTGCCCATCGATCGGCTGTTATACGATAGTGCCAATCGACCGCCTTATATCGCTGGCGCCCCCTTCCCTAAGCACATGATGACGCGGAGAATTTTTCTTGCCGGTAAGTTTTCTCTTTAATTTTCCATTTCCCCTTTCTCTTAACTTTCTTTCTCTTTAAACCCCCCTTTCCCTCGACTTGCCCTTGGACCGTGGCCCTCGCCTACGGGCGGAGATGGAAAACAAAGAGGATAAAAGGTAAAATGGATTGACTGCCGCCACGATCGTTCCCCCCCGCTCTCCAGCCGCTACCCCTCCCCATCATTCGAAGTACACGTGAGTTTGTGCCTTTACTTTTTCTTTTTTTTTCTTTTGTTGCTCAACTCATTTGCCTTCCTTTTCTGTTTTCAGCTGAACGGCTTTCCCAAGGAGATAAAGATAAAGATGACCTGGGACATATATGGACTGCCCCTTTCATCCAAGCAGCTACCCCTCTCCACCATTCTTTGATGTACAGGTGAGTTGTGCCTTTGCTTTGGTTTTGGCATTCAACTGATTGGTTTTATATTTTTTTTTCAGATGAATTGTTCTTTCTCCTTTTTTTTTTTTTGTAAATAAACTCCCCGGCTTTTTATGGTGTTATTATTTTAAGTGTTTGTGCTAGTTTTGTCCGCGTTTCAAGTCCCAGTGTCAGTGTTTACGTGTGTGATAGGGTTATTTTGTATATATATTTTTTTTTTGATTTTTATTATTATTTTTCTTTTTTTTTATACGGCTAGCAATCGAAACGGCGTACACTAACTTGGCCAGAGGCCGCCAAACGGATGCGGTATTTCTTGTAGCCTATCTCTGCCATCACGCAGCGTCGGCCCCCTCGTCGCCTGGCATGCTTGATCACCGGCTGCTCCAATAGACCAACTGGCCACTCCTCCTCGGCGATATCCCGCCAGGATCTGCCCTCTGTCCGGGACGCCATCCGCACCAGTGTGGGCCTGGCCACTGGGCCGCGTGCCTCTGGGGCGGAGATCTGCCGCTGGAGTTTGGGCCTCGGGTTGTCCGTAGGTGTCGGCCACACCCATGGCCCTTTCTCCAGTACATCTCCCTTATGACCTCGAGTACTTTCCCCGGACTGTACCCGAGTGGCCTTATCATGGTCTGCATGTCCACCATGTAATCCTTGAATGGCTCTCTGAATCCCTGCTTCCGAGCTTTGACTTGGTCCTCTAGTTTCGCCAAATATCCTCTGGGCAGGAAGAACGTTTGGAAACTCTCATTAAAGTCTTCCCACGTTTTCCAGTGCTGGTTGTTCGAGATAAACCACTTTAATGCTCTGCCTTGTAGTCTCTGACCTGCTTCGCGACTTTAGCGTAGTCGGTCTCGCTAGGTCTTTGTGCCTTCGGGGCTGTCTTTCTATCTTGAATTGAATCTCTTCGCTGGCCCTCTTGTTGCATCTCTTCAATGCTAAGGCCTGTCCATGCGTCTTCTCCCTCGGGGTTTGTTAATTTTAGACCTGGTTTTTCTGGGTACATAGCTTCTAGTTCGTACCAGAGTTCTTTGAGTTCTGGGTTGTTTTCCGTCTCATTGTAGTATTCCACCAAGGCTTTCCGCATGTCTTCAGTTCTACCCGTCAAGGAAATGCGTAGCCTTTGTGCCACATTTGTGAAATCCTCTTTCTTGAGGCGGTAGATCCAACTTCTCCCCATTCTGGTGTTTTGTGTTTTTCTTACTGCCGGGACAATCACGTTTTTGGGCGCCAGATGTAACGAACTGTTTTTTTATGGTTTTCTCGCTACGAAATTCGTGCGGCTAGCTCAGTAGAATTTGTGCGTTCGTCCCACCAAATTTATATTAAACGTGACCGCCCGGTTAACAGTAACAAAACTTCAGAATTCAGTTAAGGAGGCGTTTATTTACGGCTCTGGTTGACAATATTTGAATATCTTGCGTGGGTGATGCTCCTGCGTCGCCGCTCGGTGATTCCTCGCTGCTGATGGTCCTAGTCGCCCCGAGTACTTTCGCTGCCGCTCATAGACGAGGGCGTGGAGTTGGACCGTTGGGCTTAGGGAAGCGTCACCGTTCTCAGACTAGGGTGAACAGGCACCACGCTCGCAAGACCTTCGTCCTGCCAGCCGCAGTTTCCTGTCCCTTGCTCTGTCCCGGTCGGTCCCACTAGACGCTCACTCAGTTTCCTTTGACGCTCTGGTACTACGGCCAGATCACGTCAGCAGTCCCTATAGCCAGCGCCCAGAGAAAGACGAACGTTCCACCCTGGCCTTCCCTCCCGACTGTTGCGATCGTACCTGAGGCTTGGCTCTTGTTGCGGTCTCTGGCGGCTTGTCTGCGTCGTCGTCCTGCGCGACTGGTTGTGGCGTTGTTCCACGTTGCTCCCTTGAGGCCCACTGCTCGTGTCGCTCACTCTGTTGTTGTTGACGTGCCGAGCTAAATCTGCCTATAACCGGCACAACTGATCGGTATTACGGCCGACGCAGCTGGACTCATCGGTATTACAGCCAATGTAGTCGGCCTGGTTGGTATTACAGCCGGCGCAGTTAGTCTGATCGGTATTACAGCCAATGCAGCTAACTGACCGGTATTACAGCCAACTTAGACGCACACGGTTATAATAAATTGGTATTACAGCCAATGTAGCCGGACTGATTGGTATTACAGCCGGCACAGCTAGCCTGATCGGTATTACAGCCAATGCAGCTAAACTGACCGGTATTACAGCCAACTTCGTCGGACTACTCGGTATTACAGCCAACCTTGATGTTCTGTAGACTTGGCCGTGGGTTGCCGTTCGAGGACTCAGCTACCTGTGTCTCAATTCGGTGACTTGCTCGGTCCCGAACCTCTCGACGTAGCGATCTTGTTCACGGTTGGTTCTCACGGTGGTATATTCTTGACTTTGACTTTCACTAGACGATGTTCATTCGTAGTTTGATGCTCGATGACTGGTCCTGATTCCAGCGCTGGGCCCGTTTATATAGGCCTCCGGGTCCCGTTAATCCTCGGCCATTCCTTTTCTTCTCTCCACTCCAAGGTCCAAAGTCCACGGTTTTACCGTTTGACCTTTCGCCCTCTGCACACGGCACCACACTGAAGTCCACAGTGCAGCGCTGTACCGTTCCTTCCTTGCTCACGGCACGCCTGCGCTCTCTGGCTCTCGCTCTGACTAGTGCCGTCTCGCTCTGGCACCTCTCTCCGCTCCGTCTCTCCCAATCTCTCCAAACTCTCTTTGGGTTCGTACTTTGTACTTTCTCTCCTCGTACTCTCCAACTGCTTTCTCCAAACTCTCTTTTCCTGCGTTGCCGTTACTACGCGAAGTAGTTGCGTAAGTAGCAACTGGCAGGTTTTCCATGCAGTTATTTTTGAGATATTTTGTGTGGAGTTATTTAACTCCTCACAGTGCTCTGAGTTTTTGTATTTTTTCAGTGATTTTGTGCGAGTGTTTTGTGTTAATTTATTTACAAAGCTTAACTTAATACATATCTGTGTTAGAAATTTTAAATAGATCTCACAGTAAACGGGTGTGTGTTTAGAATTGTTTTAACATTTCTATTAGATTTGTTTAATCTCGTAGCTTTGTTAGTGTAATTTACGCTCTCTATACTTGCTAGAACTCTTTTACTCCCTCTCAATCTCTCCCGCTCTATTTTATAACTGTAATTTACTCTCTATGAACTTCTGGTAGACTTGTTCGTTTATTTCTCTAACTCTCTCCCTCTCTCTCTCTCTTGCATGCTTTACATTGCATTTGTTTATTGATTAAAGTTGTTGTGTTGCACAAGCCACGCTCAGTCGATATAAGATTTATTCTCTCGTGCTCTCTTTATTCGACTTAATTTTGTGATCTCGCGCTCTTACTTTTTTCGTGTTTTGTGATTTTTGACAAATTGATTTGATCCCAGTGCCAAATTTACTTTGAGGTATTTTTCATATTCTTATTTTTTTATTTTGCTTTAAACTTACAATGGCTCTTGTCTGTTCTAAGAAAAATTGTACTCTTGCGTCTTCAACTAAAGACCCTTTAATTTTTTGCTGGCTCTGCGATTCGATGATGCACGTTAAATGTGCAGGATTTACTGGCAGAGTCAAAGATTTCATTGATCTTAATTCTGGTCTCATGTGGTCATGTGGGTCCTGCAAGGAAATGGTTGTTGAGATGAGTGGCTTTATGAGGCAGACTCGAGACAGCCTATTGAATATCTCAGGAGCTTTTAAACAACTCAATGAGGGGTTCAATTCCGTCTGTGCCCAGTTTAATAATAAAAAAATTATTAACCGAGTCGCCTAAACGTAAAAAAGCCAGTTTAACCGCCGTTAATATGATTGTGGAATCCACCCCAAATCCGAACTTGGTAGCAGCAGTTTCTGTTGACACAGGGGTAAATGAACCAACTGTGCCTATGGATACAGCTAGTTCGGGTGGTACCTCTGTTTCCAGAATAAAAGCTACAGTACTGGCTAAGTCAAAGAATTTGTTGCCGACAGTACCTACAGGTACAGTAGACACCGTTCCTGGTTCTCAGCCCAGTGTGGTTCAGACTGCTGGTGGGGGCCGTAAGAAACTTTCAGTTGTTCCACAAAGGAAGCAATTATTTGTTTCTAGATTCACCCCAGATACCACATCTGAGGATGTTTTGGAATTTATACGTGAAAAATTCCCATCCGAGGATATTGCAGTTGAACAATTTCGATTTTCTTACGCTCGTAGGATATCGTCTTTTAAAATATTTGCTCCGCCTGATGTGTTTAATGTGTTACTTTCTGAAAGTTTTTGGCTTAATGATGATTTAGTAATTAAAGAATTTATTCCAAATAAACCGAGAACAAATAACAGGTTTCCACTGTGCCAAAAAACTAAATACTTTATTCTTGGCGTATCAAAATGTTAGGGGACTAAATATGAAGCTACACAAGCTTTATGCCGACTCCTCTGCATTCACCGAAGATATTTTGGCTTTTACGGAAACTTGGCTAAAACCAGAGATATCTGACTCTGAAGTTCTGTCAAATAACTTTAATACTTATAGGACCGATCGCTCCTCACGTAGGGGGGCGGTGTACTGATTGCTGTTACCTCTAGCCTAACATCCGAAAGAATTCTCACTCATATCCCAAACGAAATTGAATTTGTAAGTGTGAAAGTTTCTTTGCAATCTTTATCTATTTTTTTTACATGTTCCTATATTCCACCTGGCTCTGATCTAGTAATCTGTCCGCAATAAAATCCGTACTATCCCTGCTTTCTAACAGATACCTTTTGATTGTTTTGGGTGACTTTAATCTACCTGATATTTCTTGGTCTCCTCCCACTGACTCACTTGTCGCTATACCTTTATCCGCCCATGATTTTGTAGATGGCCTTTTAGAATTATCGTTACATCAAGTAAGCTTTATACGAAATTCTTTAAATAGACAATTAGATATTGTGTTTGTTTCAGACCCGTCCGAGGTCACGGTATGTAGAATTGACGCTCTTGTTGTACCTGAAGACCGATATCATCCAACAATGGAATTGACAATTTGCCTCCCCTGCTCTGATACCCTCTCTCCTTTAGTGCCCCCAACTAAAAGGAGATGTTTTCGTAAATGTGACTATAATAAACTTAACGATATGATTTCTCATTACAATTGGACAGACTTGTACAATTGTACAGACATTGAAAGTGCCACTGAACTATTCTATATAGCGTTAAATACTTTTTTAATGA